TACTAGTTATCTTTATATTTGTACCTCATATTTACACTCTTTCCCAATGTTAATAGATTGATAGCACTGGATCTTACTTACTTGCATATTAAGTAGCATTTATAAACATGTTTCTTACAATAAGAAAACTACGCAACAACCGCTAAAAGCTGCAATATGTTCAACACGAGCACAACAAATAACAATGTATTTTCGTTGATCTGTTTCTGCTTATTGCTTTTGCCTTCTCCTTCTCCACCTTTGCTGCCTTCTATCATATTCTCTTCCTCTGCACTTTGTTCCTAACAATATCCATGCAGTTAAATCGAATTAATATACTCCCATCAATATAAACAACTCGACTTCAATACCAGTTATAGTATATAGTCAAGACAAAGCTTCTGTGTACCCCACTAACGGCATTACCTATATATAAAATATATGTATATGTTATATTGTGTATGTTACCTATATATATATATATGTATATATTATATTGTATATGTACATATATATATATATAAATATAAATTAACACTTAATTCTATTAGTGTAGTCAGATATAGCACTATTAATATATCCAAGTAAGTAGATGGAGCAGCACGCTGCAAGCTTAACAATTACGCAACTCAGGTAAGTACTTCAGAGATTCAAGTGAACAAGAGGAGAGGCAAAAGAATACCCCACGCCTAAACCCTAAACCCTAAACCCTAAACCCTTGAACAGACAAGAAAAAGTAAAAGCGACTCTATTAGCAACACAATACTTGTAAACAACTACTTAGACGAAGGAAATAACACCCAGAACGAACAAAACGAAGAAACATCTCATGCAAAAGACAACAATTTAAGAGGGGCAGCTGCTCCCCTTTAAACACCCAATGCCCATACAACGCAAACAGCTAAACGGCAATAAAAATAAAAACAAAAAATACCAACAACAACAATAATAATAGTAATTAGTAAAAAAAGAAGAAAAGAGTTTAAACAACAAGTTGGTGGAGTTTGCGCTGCATGCGGCTCCTTAAGAGCCAATACAAAGTCTGTCCTTGTAAGTATTCTTTCTTTTTGAGATAATAAAGCATCTGCTGTTGTGTTGTTATTTACTTCTTTTCACGATAGACTTTGCAGTTCATCTTTATTTGCAGTGTATATACACCTCAATGTTCCGCCTGCATTTCAGCCTGTCCTTTTTCCCTCTTCGTTATTGTTTCCCTCCCTTCCCTTCCTTATCTTGTTATAAACAACCATATAGCTGTCTTTGTAGAGAATAGGAAGCAATGACTGCTGCATTTCTTTGATTGCACCCTCCTTTTAAGCAGTGTAGCTAATAGAACTTGGTTGAGTTGTAAGGTTTTTCTCTTCTGTATATTTCGCTACTTCATAAGGAGTGTATGTTTCTTCAGGATATCCACACTCGCATGGGTCTACACGGGTAACAAATGCATTACTCCATTCTGGTAGAGCGTCTCCTCTTCTTCTTCTTCTAAATATAGGTTTGTTCTGTTGAATAGGAATGCGCGTAAAGCATGCATTACCTCCGAATAAAGCAGAAGAAACTGCAGATACACCCGGATCAGGGTGTTCAGACAGCGGAACCCCAAAGTGTAAAGGCCCTACAGGCCCTGCAACGTAACGATGAGGGGCAGGTGGAGGAAACTCTCTTTCATGAATAATGCAGCTATCCTTTACTTGCTGGGCCTGCTCTTTAAACTCACGAAAGTAAGCCCCTGCTTTATGCTTATCCAACTCCCCTCTGCTCCCATCGAAGTGTGATAGAAACTCTGCATGAGACATAGAAGAAGGGAGGGGGGAGCCAGCATAAGAAAAAGAAGGAGGCATAGTATACGACATCTTCTGCAACAAATACACAAAAATATATCCACAACGGAACACCGATACACCTGCGGTAGCCAACAAAAAAATAAAAAAACACCAACCCAAAAAAAAGGAAGTCAGAAAAGGAATAATGAAGAAGAAACCCCTGCAAAGCACACAAACACACATACAAGAAGTAATACAAACAACTGCAGCAAACGCAGCAGCAGGGGCAGCAGTAGAAATAGCAGCAGCAGCAGGAGCAGGAGCGGCAACTGAAGCGGCAGGAGGAGCAGCAACAGGAACAGCAGCAGGAGCGGCAGCAGGAGCAGCAGCAGGAGCAGCAGCAAGAGCAGCAGCAGGAGCAGCAGTAGGAGCGGCAGCAGGAGCAGCAGCAGGAGCGGCAGCAGCGATGGAGTTGGAGGCGTGAGGGGGAAAAGCAATGAGAGGGAGCCAACAGAGAAACATAAAAGTACAGAGTTAAAAGCAAGCAAAAAACAGCAAAAGAGAGTCAAACGACCCGACTCAAGAGAAGAGAACGCCAATGTACAGAAGCAAGAAGCACATGAAAACGAAAAAAGGAGAAGTTTCAAAATGTAAGGTGTGCTGCTCCATGCCCCTGCCTCGCATGTCCCTCAGTGTTGTGCCTGCCCTCTATTATTTTCTCTGTGAATATTTTGCTGTATATCTCCCACCAACGCTTTCTGCTTCCTGAATGCTAATGCTAAGGACCAGCGGAAGGCAAGGCAGCAGGGGGAAAGAGGTGAAAATTACCTCAAGTCAAAGTACTTTGAGAAGAAGAAGAGTACTAATATAGAGGGAGAAACAAATAAAAGAGGAAAATCGGAAAAAAAGAAGAAAAGGAAACACAATGGGAGGTTAGCCAGCGGCTCCCCTGCTGGTCTTGCAGCAGAAACGAGGAGCGGCTGTTGTTTTGTGGGTTCGTTTGACTTACTTGGTGAAGAAGATTGTTTGTTTGAATTCAAAACGAGAAAATATAATATAATATCAACTTAAATGAAGAAGAAAGATGCAGCAGTTTAAACAACTCAGCAACAAACCCCTGCAAACAGCCACCAGGTTTAATCGGAGCTGCCCATACACCTCAGCTCCTCTCGAGCGGTGGATCGATTCTTCTTCTTATCATTTTATTTTCCTTTTCTTTTAATTTTGAGTTCAAATTGAAAATATAAACTGTTAGAAACATATTATCCTCCTATATTTACTCATATTCCACTAACAGCGCCACACACACCCATAACACTACGAGGTGTACAGACAGACAGCAGCTGCAGCCGAACGCTCCTCCGCCTCCACGGCCTTCAGCGCCCCCCAAACACAAAAAAAGAAGACAAACTGTAAAAAAGAATTTCTTTACAAATCAGTCACTCTTTCCTGCAAAGCTGTGCACAACCGGCTTGCCTGCATTCGCTCTAGGCGTTCCTGCTATATTGTGTTTTTTCGCTGTTGGTGCTGCTGCTGTTGTTGTTGCTGCTGGTGTTGCTGCTCCTTCTGCGGCTGTGACAGTATATTTCTCTAGTTGTGGATGCACTGTAAGCATAGATGAATTCAAGAGCGACACGCCGAGAAAAAACCAGCGGAAGGCTTTCCAGCAACACCGCTGGGGAGGAAAGCTAACAACAGTTGCACAGAAGAAGCGAATAATAAGATAAAGCTGCAGCAGAGGTCTCTACCCCAAGCCTCCTGAGTACAAGCTGTCCGTACACTGGGAGCCACTCAGCAACGACAGTAGGTGCCCCTTTCTGCTGAGTAAACAGAAGAATATATATGCATACATGCCTTCGTATATATATATATATATATATATATATACGGCAAAACACCTATTGTCTTCCATGAGGATGGCGGGACATCCCTTCTCTTCTTATCGTTCTTCTCCTCAAATACCTGAAGAAAGAAAACGGCTAGCAGAGTGTAGTGAGGGCCGATCTCCCCTTTGTTACAGACAGCTAGCTAGCCGCAGCTAGCTGCCGCTAGCTACTAGATCGCTGGCAGCTGTGTGCATGTTGAGGTGTATGTACAGTACAACTGAATTGCTGCAGCGACATTCGGTTTGACGTGTCCTACTTCGCAGTGTCTGTACACTGCCCTGGGTTGCGGCGTTTGTGTGTTTATATTTCAAGAAATTCTGTATTTATTCCTCTTTGTCTCTTTTTTTCGTTTGTTTATTTATTCTCCTCTTAATAGTAAGTAATCAGCGGACAACAAAACAGCAAACACACTGCTGCTGCTGCTGCTGCTGCTGCGGAGGCCAATGACGGCACAGCGAGAATCGAAATTATGAATTTAGTTGCAACAGCAGCAGCAGCAGCAACAACAGCAGCAGCAGCAGTAGCAGCATGAGGCTTGAGGTGTTCCTCTTTGTAGAAGTAAGCGTCTGGCTGGCTCTTGCGTTTCTCGGGGGTAATGCGAGGTGTACGTACACCTCAAGCTGAACAAGGTGTACGTACACCTAAAGCTGTGGAATTACTTGCGCAAATAAAAGAAAAATACAAAAGATTACTCTCTCCGCTGCTTATCTTCTAAAACGAGATACTACGCCAGAGATCTATAATATATAATGTGCTGCACTTCAAGCATCCATTCATACAAATGCCTCTTCTACGCTGGTACATAGATATATATATATATATATATTATAGATATATATATATTATATACATTTGTACATATATATGTGTTTAATATATATGAACATCCAGTTGCTTCATAATGCGTAAATGTGTATGCATAATGAATATATACGTAGATGTATCTAGATAAATCTATTATATACTAACTACAATATATCTATTATATACTAACTACTTTATTATATACTATATGCATTATATATATTGTATACTGCATACAATATATCTATTATATCCTAAATATCTTATATCTATTACATACTATATATATTATATCATTATATATACGTATAACATGCAGTATATCTACTCTATATACAATTTGCATTATATACTACATGCAGATCCATGACCTAAAAATATGCATTATACTACTTATATAGAAACATATATATATGTATATATATAATGCATTATTTCTACATCTATATATCTATATCTATAACTATATATCTATATCTATATCTATATATCTATATATATTTCTATATCTATATATCTATATCTATATCTATATATCTATATCTATATCTATATATCTATATATCTATATATCTATATCTATATCTATATATCTATATCTATATATCTATATATCTACATCTATATATCTACATCTATATATATAAATGAGCGTATAGTTTAAGAAGCAGATTAAAGAACAGAAGACGGAGATAAACAGTTGGTGTCCTTTAGACGGGCGAAGGAGAAATTTGCTCTCCAAACACTTCGTTAAAAGAAGACAGCCTTCTCTGCTGTCGCGGTGTATATACAGGTATCATATATAAATATAAACATAAATATAATATATATATATATATATTATATGTATTGCCATTATATATGTATCTGTAGTTGTAGTATATATATATATATATTCAAAGAGATATATATCATATATAATCTATATAAGGTATAATATATACATGTGTGATATATATATATATATATATATTAAATTATATATATTATATATATTATACACATTTTCTTTCTTATTAAGGAGAGAAAGCCACACAGATGAACTGCGGGGCGGTCATAGACAATAAAAAGGAAGAAAAAAACAGAAATAAAGAGTAAATACACCCGAAATAAAGAAAGATAAAACAGCAATAAAGAAGAAGTACAACAGAAGTAAAAGAAATAACACACAAGTAAAAACAAAAAAGAAGAAAATGCATACAGACAAACACATGCAAAAGATGCGGCTCCCCTAAGGCTTGCTGACTTCTTAAAGCAGCAAGAAGAAAATAATAATTGCTTTTATAAAATGTTCAACACTACACAACCCATGCATGCATGCATGCATGCGGTGTACGTACACCCCATGCACTCGCTGTGTATGCCTTTCTTTCCCTGTTTCTTTCTGTCCTTTTTCGTCTGTCTTTGATGTCTTATTAAACATGCAATCTTGATAATATATATATATATATATATATATATATCTTCTGATCTCAGCATATGCGCGGATATTGAATAAACATACTCTCTGTCTGTTTGTTTCTCTCAGTTTGTTTGTTTATTTGCTGCTTGTCTTTGCTTTTTTCTCTCTTTTCCCTCTCTTATAGACAGCACTTCCCCTCTTCTTTTTTAAGCTTGCGAAGAATTCTATTAAATTCTTATTTTTCGTTGTTTGTTTTGCATTTAACTCGATTGATAATATAAGCCAGTTATCATTCATGCTGCAGCCTGCTGCTACGCGCATGCTGTTGCTGCTGCTGCTGCTGCTGCTGTTGACACTGATGTTGTGGCTCCTGCTGCTGCTGCTGCTGCTGCTCATGCTGCGGGTGCTGCTAACGGCGCTGTGCTGCTGCTGCTAATGCCGCTGCTACTGCTGCTGCTAATGTCTCTGGTGCTGCTGCCGATCATTATTATCATCATCTGCTGAGAGGTTAAAGAGCGCCTTTACTGCTTTGGAGATGCTGTTGCTGCTGCTGCTAATGCCTCTACTACTGTCGCTAATGCCGCTGCTGCTGCTGCTGTTGCTGCTAATGGCGCTGCTGCTGCTGCTGCTGCTGCTGAGTATCATCTGCTGGGAAGTTAAAGAGAGCCCTTCCTGCTTTAGAAATGCTGCTAAATCGTTCAAAGAGGCCGCTGCAGTTGATGCCCAGCCAAAAGCCGAAGACAGCGCCGAGACCGACGCCCCACCAGAAGCCAAAGAGAGGCCTCTCAGATTCTCTCATTAAATCATCTAATTCCTTCGTGGCTAAGTGCTGACTCATGCCAAATCCCCCTAGCAGTAACGCGGGAATGAAGAACCCCATCGTGCACAAACAGCGGAAAAAGAGGAAATAGAACAGAAACCGGGCGCAGAAAGATAGAGGAAGGCCGCATGCAAGATGCAGAACAAAGAAAGAAATAAACACAGAAGAAGCAAACTTGAAAAATGAAGACGCACGCCGAAGAAACGCTGAAATAATGAAATCGGAGCCGCAGCGACTGAGGCGGGAAACCGTAAAAAAGGAACAAACTCGGGGGGGAAAAAGAAAGAAGAAGGAAGATATTAAAAAGATTAACTCCTCCTAAACCACTCAAAAAGGAAATATTCGTGAAATAACTTAAATATCTGCATATTCCTGCTCTTATATTTCACAACTGCTCAGACCTGGCTATACACCCGAATGCATGGGCGGCGAAACGCAGAAAAGAAAGGAAATTTTTTGATATTCGTTGGTCGACTGTTCGTATATAAAGTAAAAAAGACTCATTAGAAGTACTTTTGAACGCAGATAATAAAATAATATCCTTTTCCTTCTCTTTCCTCTCCTTGCTAACGCAAGCCAACAGCCCAGCCAGTCTTCAGGTGCATGTACACCGCAGACGAAACGGCAGGAAGCTGTTTTCTGTTTGGAACAGCATTCTACTAAAACAAATGCAGCATTAAATATAAAATTAATTCTTTTCTTCATAGAACCTCTTCTAAAGAAGAGCAGAAGAACAACAGCAAACCCTCATTTCCCTCTTCTGCTAGGGTTTAGGGTTTCGGCTTTCGGCGTCGGTTGTAAGACATTATGAATTTTCACTCTTTATTTTCTTCTCCTAAGGTTTTGTATTGTTTTTTTCTTCTTTTCTGTAGATCATTAACTCTTTTTGAGGTCTCTTTCCCCTTCCCTCTGAAGCACAGCTTCTTCCTATACCTGCCAGTCTAGGGCTGTTGAAGAGCAAGAGGTTTCTGCTGCTGCTGCTGCCTTTGCTGCTGGTGTTGCTGCTGCAGCTTTCGATGGCTTTGTCTTATAAGGCAAAGAATATTATCTCCTGGGCCGCTGTCGTTGTACTCGGTGGGTCTTAGGCGCTGGAGCACTTTATTTTTTTCTTTCTTTTGCATGCCGCTTATTCTTTTGATGGTCTCTGTCTTCGTCTCCTCTTAGGCAGTTATTTTACGCTGTGTCTCTCTAACTCTCTGTTTATATTTCTTTCGCTTTATCTTTGCCTTTATCTGTGTGTGTCTGTCTTCATCTCGTTGCTGCTCTCTCTCTCTCTCTCTCCCTCTCTCTATATATATGCATACATCTGTGTATATATATACATATATGTATATATATATATATATGTATATGTATATATATGTATATATTATATTACTATAATGTATATTATTCGCATTTTCTTTTTGCTGTTTATACGCTGTTTGTTGTCTCTGTCTCTTTTCAGCTCCTTCTGTCTTGTGTTTATTTAATGTGTTTTCTTTTGTTTATTTTTTTATTGTTTTGTTGTCCTACGGCTTTGTTATTTCCTGCATTCTTCTGTTGCTGTTGTTCAACTCCTCTATGCTTTTGAATTGCTGCTGCTGCTGCTGCTACTGCTACCCCTGCTGCACTACTGCGGCTACTGCTGCTGCAGCTACTGCTGCTGGTGCTGCTACTGCAACTACTGGTGCTGCTGCTGCTGCTGCTGCTGCAGGCAGTGCGGTTCCCCTTGGTCTTTCGTTGCTGCAAGTGTATAAATGCGATGTACACGAAGAAGCATTAGCTGTTCATGCTGAGACAAACAGAAAAAGGAAACAAGCAGCAGAAGCAGCAGCAGCAGCAGCAGCAAATGCTGGTGCTGCTGCTGTCTAGGGAGTTCAGATCCCTCGCATGCGTTCTGTAGAAAAAGCTGCAAAATTGCTGCTGCTGCTGCTGCTGATGCACTTGTAACAGCAACAACTGCAGCAGCAACAGCAACAGCAGAAACAACTACAGCAGCAACAGCTACGGACGCTTGAGATCATTAGCTTTGCTGCTGGAACAGCAGCAGCAGCAGCAGCAACAGCAGCAGCAGCAGCAGCACGATATGCTCTGCACCTTCACCTGCTAATGTACGTACACCTGAAAACAGCGGGTGGTTTTCTGTCTAATAGACTGCTGTCTCTCCGCGGCGAACCTGTCAGCACTTTCTGTTAATTTGTTTTTTATTTATTTGCTGAGACTAATTTTGTTTGTATTTTAGTTGCATTTGTTTGCTCATATCTGTTGTCGCGCTGTAGACAGCCTAAATAGCACATTTAGGGTTTAGATTTAGGGTTTAGGGTTTAGGTCTAGGGTTTAAGCTTAGGGCTTTTAGGGCTTAAGGTGCCGGGAGTAGGAGTTAGGGTTTAGGGTTTAGGGTTTAGGGTTTAGGGTACAGCATTTGAGGAGGCAGGTCCGAACTTAGGATGTTGGACCTGGTGAGAGGGCTCCTGAGTAAGGGTTTAGGGTTTAGGGTTTAGGGTTTCGATTTTAGGGATTGGGGTTTAGGGTTTAGCGTGTAGAGGTTAGGGTCTAGGGTTTAGGGCTTAGAGCTGCAAGATTTCTTTTTAAGTATCTTCTTCATGGTGAGCCCAGCAGAAGCCCCACAGCACTTCAGCAACGAAATAAAGGGTTTTCCTTCTGCTAAACCCTAAACCCTAATGAGTTCGATTATACTATAAAACCCTAAACCCTAAACCCCAAACCCTAATGCGTTAATTTCGCTGCCTGCTTGTCTCAGCCCCCAGGGCAAAGTAAACAAGTAAATAAATGAATAAATAAATAAATAAATTAATTTGTTGTTTTGTTTGATTAAAATAAATAAAAAATTTGTTTTATTTTTGTTTAGTTTTATTTCGATGATTGGCGCAGCCAGCGAATCGGCGAAATCGGCGATTGCAGGTTTGGGGTTTTCTTGAGCAGCAAATTAATTTTATATTTTTTCTTTTGAACAATAAATAAATAAACACATTAATTAATTAATTAATTTATTTATTAATTAAAACAATTAAAAAATAACGCTGTTTAGATGCGCCTTCTTGCTACGTTCTTCATCTACATCTCACCAGGTGTCTGTACACCTCAGCATTTACTCATTTAGCATCATCTTTATAAAGTAGGCGATCATTTATTATTATTATTTCCATCTTTAGATTAATACCTGGACTGCCAGCCACAAGGAGGTGAAGAAGCCCTTCGACAACAGCACTGCTGCAACAGCAGCAACAGCAGCAGCAGCAGCAGCGGCATCGACATCCGCAGCTGCAGCAGCAAGCAAAAAAGGAGGAGGTACGCCACCAGTAACGCCATTGGAACGGGGGGGCAGCAGCAGCAGCAGCAGCAGCAGCAGCAGCAGCAGCGGCAGCATCTGCAGGACAATCG